TATCTATCTATCTATCTATCTATCTATCTATCTATCTATCTATCTATCTATCTATCTATCTATCTCTTTTTGGCAGAATGTGGATTCACCTCCAAGTATCACAATCTCTGCACAAGAACTGGAGGTTGTCTATGACTTTTTGTACCTAGGCTCAACTATATCCGACACTCTCTCTTTAGACACTGAGCTGAATATACGTATTGGTAAAGTGGCCAGCACATTTTCCAGACTTACAAAGAGAGTATGGCTTAATAAGAAGCTGACAAAACATACAAAGATTCAGGTCTATAGAGCTTCTGTCTTGAGCACACTCTTGTACTGCAGCAAGTCTTGGACCCTTTATGCATGGCAGGAGAGAAAGTTGAACACCTTTCATATATGCGGTCTCTGATGTGTTCTTGGTATCACCTGGCATGACAAAGTTCCAAATAGCGCAGTCTTGGAATGTGCCGGAATTTCTAGCATATATATACTATTGAACAGCGATGTCTATGCTGACTTGGGCATGTCATGAGAATGGCTGATGGGCGGATTCCGAAAGACCTCCTATATGGAGAATTAGTGCAGGGAAAAAGCCATAGAGGGAGACCACAGCTGCAATATAAAGATATCTGCAAGAGGGATCTAAAGGCCTTGGGAATGGACATTAACAGCTGGGAAATCTTGACCTCTGATTGTTCAGCTTGGAGGCTAAAGACACAGCATGGCCTTCTCCAATTTGAAAAGACACTTATTCAGCAGGCTGAGGCAAAGAGACAGTCCCAGAACCAGCAAAATCTGAGGGCTGGACAGGTGACAGACTGTATCTGTCCTCAGTATGGAAGGGATTGCCACTCTCGAATTAGTTTTTTTAGCCACACTAGATGCTGTTTTAGGACCTCTTTTCAGAGCACGATACCATAGTCTTTTGAGACTGAAGGATGCCAGTGTGGTATGTGTGTGTGTGTGTATGTATGTACACACACATCTAATTGAGTATAGATCTGTTAAATATTTTAGACACCTTAGAAAAGTCTTGGTTGCTTATCAGTGGAACAGAATATGATCTAGAAGTATTCAAAGTACTCTCAATTCCTTGGTGCCTGCTGAGCTTGGTTGTTTTCTTGCCAACTTTTATTACCGAACTAAATAACAGCATAAACTGGTAATGAAATGTCTACAAGAAAGCAACCAAGCTCAGAGAGCACCAAGGACCCCACAGTTCAACCCTGAGCTACAAATATTACCTTCTATCGATATTCTTAAATCTATTCCTTGGAGCAAAATAAATCATAAATGAAACTCCAACCCCTTGCCTATAATGAATTGATCTTGAAGAATCTTTGAATAGAATATTTTATTGTCTCAGTAAACAGTGTAGCAAACCATTCATTTAGAACTGAATACTAACCTTATCAACAATTCCAACATATACTTCTTGTATATTAGAAACATACACGTCAGTTTTAGCAATGGTGGAAGACGCAAGACACAAGTCATGTATCATTACAGATACTGACCCTGGATATAAGGGATAAATCTAAAATAAGGAGAAGAAAATGGAATCATATGTTCTTAATTGGTTATTGTGACTATTCTTTACTTAAAGCTATTGTGCTTTAAGGAAATAACAAATGGTAAATAACAGTGACAAAAGAAAAATGTGCAGTTAAGATTAAGGAGGACATTTTTCCACAGAAGATGTTCTTTCCAAATAAAGTTTTAAAATATATTTGAGGAATCTAATTTCACTGAGACAATAGAAACAGCCTGCAGGTAACAACTGCATTCAGGTGCGTCTAATGAAACTATTAGCCTCCAGTCTTGTATTCTTTTTTTGAAATTAGGAAGTAAAAAACAAAACACAAATCTTGGGGAGAAAGGATCTTATAAAAAAGGCCTTAAAAGGGAGTACACAGACTGAGTTTAACGAAAAAAGAAAGAAAGCATCTGTACTGCTGAGTATTTTATTCTGAATGACACCACATAAACTGATGGCAGTTTATGTTCCTGAAGAACAATTTCACATTTCAGTGAAAACTTTTAATCACAATGGCTTTTTGTTGTATCTCGCAAGGTATTACAATTTTCTGTAACGTCTTCAAGCGATTTCTTTTAGCTTTGGCTGTCACTATCTTTGAGGTCACATATTTTTTGAAACCACCTAAAGCAGACAGCCTACGAAAGTGACAATTTGTAAAGGGTTTAGTCTAATTTCATTACCTAGACTCAGGGAACTTCAAATGCCATACAAAGCAGTGAGATTTATCAATTGATTTAGCTTTACAATATTTCTATTTCATGCTGCAAAATATATTATCTGTTAGATTATCTCCTCACATCAGCAGAGACAAGGTTGAACTCTGCCTTCAAATATAAAACTCTCACACTCATCCACATGTAAAGTAAGTTATACAAATAAGGAGGGAAAAACATGAAAGGACAGAAATTAATTTGATGAATGTCAGACTGAATGGTAAATTGTTAGTTAATTAATTGGTGTTTACTCAATATGATAATTGTCACACTCAAGACAGAATTTTATTTTGCTGAATATAAGTCTAACTTGAGCAAAGTAAATATATATGGAATATAGGTGAAGGTGCATCAGACCATTAAGATACTGCCCCCATTTACCCCCAATAGGGTGTGTGTGTGTGCGTGTGTGTGTACGTGTGTGTGTGTGTGTGTGTGTGTGTGTGTGCACTTTCAAGTCTTGAGTTCTGGCAATTACTGGCATAAGCACATACAGTTTTCTTGGCAACATTTTGGGGGGGGGGGCGATAATTTGCCATTGCTTTCTTCCTAGGGCTGAGACTATGTGACTGACCCAAAGTTACATAACTGGCTTCATGCCATAGGAAGGACTAGAATTCACAATCTCCTGTTTTCTAGCCTGGTACCAACTAGATCTAGCCTGCTACTTTAGCAATACCAATAGCACTAGATTTCTGTACTATTCCATAGTGCTTTACAGCCCCCTCTAAGTGATCTACGGAGTCAGCATATTGCCCCCAACAACCTGGCTCCTCATTTTACCAACCTTCGAAGGATGGAAGGCTGAGTCAACCATGAGTTTGTCAGGATTGAACTTCTGCCCCTGCAATATTGCATTCTAACCATTGCACCACCATGGCTCCTTTAAGAATGTTTTTCACAGAGCTTTTTTGGAACAAAGCAGAACAGACTTATGTGTCTTATTACCCTGACCTAATTAGACTTGGAGGACTCTTATTCCATGGTTTCTGTAAGTCTTTGTATTTCTAAGATCACTTGATTTAAAGTTCTTCCAATATACTTTACAAAAAACCAGAGGATTTTCCATGGTCTTTTTCTCAAAAGAAAAAATAAATCATTTGCATCATAAATACTTACCAGAGCAATGTCTTTACCTTCTTCATATACTATTTTAACAATGTCAACAACACTGGTATTAATAAAAAAATATCCAGAGCCCCCATTAATAATCAGTTCGGCCTGTGAAGAAAAGAACATTTTAGAAAATTCACACTGAGATAACAGTTATTACCCATGTTTCCCCGAAAATAAAACTGGGCCTTATTTTCTTTTGATCCCCAAAATAAGCAGTAGGGCTTGTTTTCAGGGAATGTCTTATATTTTTTCCATGGCAGGGCAGGATGCTGCGTGGCACACTAATGCCGCCACCATGACAGAAGGGATGGAGCTGTTCCACATGCCCCACATTGGCTTACCTCAGGACCCCCTCAGCCAGGCCATCCACACCCCAACATCCACTTCACCTCGCGGCCACAGCTCCTACATACCAATCGACCTCCTGCTCCATTGCGGCCACAAGCAAACAGAAAAAGTGGGCTGAGAGCCATGTGGGCTCCTGCTGGATATGGTTGCCAGTGCTTATGCCACAAGGCAGGTGTTGGGGCATGGATGGCCTGGCTGTGGGGGCCATGAGGTAAGGCAGTGCGGGGAACATGGGACAGCCTCACTACCCCCACTTGCCTCATTGCCACGGCACTATGAGCAACCAGACGAAATGGGCAGGTGGCAGGCAACACAGGCTCTTAAGTAGGGCTCATTTTGGGAGTATGGCTTATATTAAGCACATGCATAAAACATGCCAGGCCTTATTTTTGGGATAGGCCTTATTTTGGGGAAACAGGGCACACACATACAGATACAAACATACAGACCTACCTTAACTGTCTGATGATTATAAATAGTCACTTCTTTAGGACTCATTTTAACATCTTCCACAAGTATTAGTTCAATACCTGCATTTACAGGTAAAAGAGCTTCATACTGTAAAGAGGAAGCAGGAAAACAAAGCAAGATGGTTCTTGAAGATGATAACAATATGGAAGAATGATTTAGAAAAGTAAGCTAGAATGGTACCATTGGACTCAAGCTAAGGAGACTGTATTCATGTCCACCCTCAACTATGGAAGCCCATTAAGTAACTTTGTCCCAGTAACACTCTCTTAGCCCAATCTATCTCACATATTTTTGCTGTAGGAAAAATAGGAAGGAGTGCTGTGGACATCAGCCTGAATCCTGGAGGAAAGGCAGGATATAACTCTAACAAATTAAAAAATAATAAGAGGAACCTCTTTGAAAAAAGTAGATTCTAGAATGTGTGGTTCTAGTAACAAGTTCAGCATTCCCAGATCTTTATTTTCACAAAACATGCATTTGTATATTTATATTTATGAATGCCAATGTATTTTGATATGGTCTCCAGAATAATCCCAACCATCAACTTATCATCAATACAACAATACATCAACAATGAATGTAGCTTGTATTTTATCTAATTGTGTTAGCTAACTCAGCTCGATGAAACATTGGCTTTATACATTCCTGATATTAATCTAATTCTCATTTCTTATCCAAATTTCTTGTTTTTTTCTCTATTTTCTTAATTTCATGATATCAAAACAATAAATGCATAGCATTACATGAGAATGAATTTTTCCTATATTTCGTTATATATGAATAAATGACTCTGAATTTCTATCAGAGTTCGAGGGAAATAGGTGATTTTAAGATGTGAAAAATAATAAAAGAAAGAAAGAAAAAAAGAAGCATAACAGCTGCATAAATTGCTTTGGTAATAAAATACAAAAATACATTTATATATATATTATTTAAATAAATAAATAATTGAATTTTATGTTTATATATTTGTATTGAACAATACAATCCTTGGTGTAATAGCCAAATATATTTCGGCAACAGGGGAGACAGGTAGCATATCAATTTATAAATTATTATTTTTAAAAAATAATTTATCTAAGTACTATAATAATTATTTCCTACTAAAGTAAACTAACAATTATCAGCATCTAGTAATTCATAATCTGATGAGTTATCTTAGATTAACTATAAATTTTGACCTTGGAAATAATTAAACATCTACTATTTAAGTGTTTGTGTTAACATATAAGAACTTCATCACACAAAAATACAAATAATGGAGAAGCTGTATGTCAACCACAGAAGACAAGCTTTGCATGCAAAGTGTTCCAAGTTTAAGACCTTGAAAAATCATTTTCATTTTCAACAGTACTGAGCAACATGAGCACCTGACTATTATAAAGTTCTTTTCAAATTTTTGTTATGAGAGTCCGGATATATCATAACAATGAAGAATGGATTTGGATTATCAATTTAAGTTTACTCTACACTATACCTATTCATTATTTTGTGCCATGTAGGATGGAAGTCCTACAATTCACATAAATTGGAAAATTATGCCTAATGTTCTTCAAGAAAAAAAATTATAATAAGCAGGAACTTGGCTTGTTGAAATGTTAAGTAATGGTGATCTGACGGTTATCCCAATTTAGTATTTTCCCTCCTTGTTTCAACCGGGAGACAAGAATATGGATACAGTTCGTTTCAATATATTTTCTTGAAAGATTAGGTATGCCAATACATTCAGGGAAAATATATGTTACTGCTTAGAGGCATGATATTACTGAGTCTTCAGTAACAAATATTACACCCTAGTTGTACAATAAGGTTGTATTCAAACTTAAATGTACTAAATATAATTAAAAGTATGTAAACTCTGCAGGATCCGATCTGGGTTGGTCACTGGGACCAGAGGTTTAGTCTTCTGAGCTTTCGGACGTGCTGGAGCCCATCCTCTCTAGCAGAATGTGTTTATTTGCTTTTCATTCATTATTAAGTCTGCTTCTTGGCTTGGTGGCTTATTTTGTTTGTTCTTTAATTTTCTTAAATTTTCTTAAATTTTCTTAAATTTTCTTCTCTTTTATTTAAAATTATGTTTTTTAAATTTATATAGCATAACTCATTACACACTAACGCTGCTGAAGAAAAAAAATAGCCAACTCTATTACAACTTGTGATATGATTGATGCTCAGAAGAAGAGAAGAGATAGTTGCAAAGTTCTGCGGGTTTCACGAAATCACTTTGCAGAATGTATTTGTTGGGTATATGAATACTCCAACTATTTTGGGTGAATAAATATATGAACCTAGGTTTAAGTGTTTGCAGCTTTAAGCACAAAAACTGCAATGTAATCTGATAATTAAGGGTGCGGTTGCAAGCTGCAATAATAAGGCAGTGAGAGAGACGTAACACTTCCTGGTTACTGGTTTCTGATTCCTGGTGTTACTGGTCGCTGGTCTGCTGGTCTCTCTGATCTCTGCTGCCTGCTGTTTTACTCCTGTATGAGACGTCTGATTGTTGGCTACTGTGCAAGATACCGTTTCTACTGAACAAAAGGACTGTTTACATGGTGTGCTGATATCCTGTGTATACTCAGCGTTGTCTTTGAGAGAAAGGTATCGGAAGGAGAAGATTTACAAGCAGATAAAGACATTGTACTGACTGTTAATAGACTAGGTAACTGGATTGATATACTGGATACTGACATATGGACTGAATGACACTTCTTAATCTCTGTGTGAATTAAATAACTATTTAAAAACTACAAACAGTGTTTTTGTCTCCAGTGTGTGTATACTCTTGGGCCCAGCCTCTCTCTCATTTTGGCTGCCTGGCTTGACTGCTGCTGTGCACTCTGCTTGGGGGTTTGTCCCCAGACACTAACATTGGTTATGGGCCCAGCAGTGTGCACAGTCTAACTAACAAGGTTATATCAGAGAGAGTTTTGGTCTGAGTTGCACATTACTGTAAAACAAACTGTTTGTTGAATAGTTATTTATCTGAAGAGCAATGGCACAAGTAAATTTGCCAAGTCTGTCCATGATATCCAGACTAGATGGAACAAACTATGTTTCATGGTCAATGAAATGTAGTTTACTTCTACGAAGAGAAGGTTTGTGGGACATAATTACAAACCCACCAGATGTATCTAACTTAGATCCTAATGATGAAGAGGATGCTAAAAAGATACAAGACTATGAACGAAAGAATGAGCAGGCTTTGTGCATCATAGGACTGACTCTCTCAGACCAGCAACTGATTCATATTCGTGGAGAGTTAATTGCTGCTAACTGCTGGGAGAATCTCAAGAAGATTTATGTTCGAGACAGTGTAGGAGCTCATATCAATCTTACACGGAAGCTGTTTAGAACACATCTTGAGAAAAATGGAGACATGTTAACTCATTTAAACTGTATGAAAAGCATTTTTCAAGAATTACAAGAAAAAGAGCTTATCTTTAATGAGTTGCAACAAGTATACATCATACTGTCTTCTTTGGATCGAAGCTATGATGATTTTGTGACTGCTTTAGAAGTATTGCCAAAAGACAGTTTATCAGTAACTGAAATTACCGGCAGGCTATTAGAAGAAGCCAGAAGAAGGTGTGAACGTGACCAGCTGAGAGAAGATAAACCTAAAGAAGAGAAATTATCTTCAAAGCTTGACAGAAACCAGCTATGTAAAGTAAAGCACCCGGAAGAAGAGAAATTATCTTCGACGGCATACACAATTAAGAAGTGTTTTAATTGTGGAGGCAGAGGACATTTGGCAAGATTCTGCAGAAAAGGAAAAAGCCAGAATGTAAAAAAGCCAAAGAAATCCTTTGAACTAGCCACGTTCAGCAACTGTGATGTGAAGAGTGATTTATGGGTGGTGGACAGTGGTGCATCCCACTGCATCACGAGAGATAAGACAAAGTTTATAAAAATGTCTACAAGCTCTCAGCATATATCACTCGCGAATGGCTGGCACCTCAAGGCCAAGGGTGAAGGTATTGCATATTGTCCATGTTTAAACCAGAATATAAAAATGTTGTATGTACCACAGTTAAAGATGAACTTACTTTCTGTAAGAGTATTAGATAAACTAGGTTATGTAGTTACATTTAAGAATAATAAGTGCATACTTGAAAAAGATAACAAAAGAGTAACTGCAGCTTTAAATGGAGCATTGTATGTCTTACATGATAGTAAGAAAGGGGAGGCACAGACTGTTTTAACAATATCAAGCCTCATAATGAATGTATCCATTTATTGCATAGGCGTTTGGGGCATGTAAATTTTAAAATGCTAAAACGTACAGTAGAGTTATCTGAAGGAATAAGGTTAAAACCCTGTGATAAATATTTGCGTTGTAATGTCTGTTGTGAAGATAAGAGTAAAATATTGCCTGCAAATAGGCTAAATGGTTTCAAAACTAAAGAACCTTTAGAAGTAGTATTTGCAGACATTATAGGTCCAAAGAAACCCAGTATGGGGGGTGCTCGATATATACTGAGCATTATGGACCATTACTCTAGATATGGGTTTTGCTACCTAATGAAAAGCAAAACTGAAACATATCAACATTTCTTCAACTGGTTAAAGTTTGCAGAAAGAAAGACTAAACGGCAACTGATAACCTTGGTGACAGATAATGGTACGGAATTTGTTAATAGCAAATTCCAGAATAGATTAAAGGCAGCTGGTATAGAGCATAAGAAATCTGCACCATACAGACCACAACACAACGCATTTATTGAGAGAAGAGGCCAAACACTACAGGCAATGGTTAGAACAATGTTAACTGATTCTGGATTACCTGATTCTGTGTGGGGGGAGGCTGCAATGTGTGCTAATAACATATTGAACAACGTTGTTAACTCAACTACTGGTGAAATACCATTCACCATGTGGCATGGCAGGAAGCCTGATCTGAGTTACCTGCACACATTTGGTGCACCAGCATGGGTGCATATCCCTACACAACTCAGGCGTAAAGGGCAACACAGAGCTAAACAATTCTTCTTCGTTGGTTACCAAGCTAACCATAGGGCATATAGATTTTGGGAGAAAGGCACATCTAAGGTGTTATGTAGTGCCAATGCCCAATTTCTAGAGCACGTAGGATGGGATAAGTTAGAACAGGATAACAATAAAGAAGTGGTTATTGAATCCTACAGAAATCCCATTAATTATCCCTGTAACTTTAAAAATAAAGTAAAGAGGAAGAGATAGTGCCTATAGACGAAGAAATAGAACCAATAGCTCAGCAAGATGAGGAACAGGAACAGGTAGTAACTCAAAAAAGTCCTCATACAAGCCCTGTAATTCCCAGAAGACCTACACGTATATCTAGACCGCCTGATAGATACCAGGCTAACACAGTGTGCCAGGAAAATAGAGTCCCAAATACTGTGGATGAGATAAAAATGTATCCTTCTAAAGATAAGGAAAGTTGGTATGCAGCAATGAATAAGGAATTGAAATCCTTGAAGGATATGAAAGTATATGAAAATGTGAGATTACCTGTAGATATAAAACCCATTGGCTGCAAATGGATTTTTAAGATAAAAACTGATAAGGATGGAAAAAGAATCCATAAGGCAAGATTAGTAGCCCAAGGCTTTAGACAAAGTGCCAATGACTATGATGAAGTAGTTGCACCTAGTCTTAAAGCAGCAACGTTAAGGGCAGCCTTAGTGTGGGCAGCAAGCAAGAAATATATAGTTAACCATTTAGATGTGGAAACTGCTTACTTGCATGCTCCACTAAGACATACTGTATATATGAAAAAGCCTAGTGGATTGAAAGGTGAAAATAATAATGATTGTTGGTTGTTAAAGAAGAGCCTCTATGGTCTTAAACAATCGGGCTATGAATGGAACCAGTATATTGTGAAGGAACTAAAAAATATAGGGTTTAAAGCTGGTTTAGCCGATCCATGTCTATTTAAAAGGGAGACAAATAGGAAAATATCATTATTATTGTTATTCACTGATGATATTGCCTTGATTACTGAGACTAATGATGAAGCAAATAAAATAATAGCATCATTAGGCAAGAAAATAAAAATCAAGCAATTAGGGGAGATAAAGAAATATCTAGGTTTAAATATAGTGAAAACACAGAAAGGTTTTAAGATATCTCAGGAAGATAAGATATCTAAATTGCTAATAGATTATAAGATGGAACTTTGTAAGCCTGCAAAGACTCCAATGAGTCAGGATATTTGCAAAATGGATACTCAAAGTCCCAAGTTTGATAAGGTCATATATCAATCTTTGATTGGTAGCTTATCATACATTAGCAATTGGTCAAGGCCAGATATTGCTTATAGTATTAATCAGCTGGCACGACATAATAATGATCCGCTTCAATGTCATTGGATAGCATTGAAAAGAATCTTAAGATATCTTAAAGGAACATTACACCATGCACTGTATCTAGAACCAAAAGGTGATCTCATATTGAGTGCTTATGCAGATGCTAGCTTTGCATCAGAAAGAGATACAAGAAAGTCGACTTCAGGAACAGCCATAATGCTGGGTAAGACATTAATAGGTTGGAAGTCAATAAGAAAACAGCATATAAGTTTGTCTACTATGGAGGCTGAATTCTCCTGTTTATCACTATTATGTACTGAGTTAATTATGTATAAACAAATGTTGAATGATATGGGTATAACTGTAAATTATCCAATAATTGTACATGAAGATAATCAGGCAGCAATTCAAATGGCCACAAATATTGCAGTGAAAACTAGGAGCAAGCATACAGATTTGAGGTACCTAAATGTTAGACAATCTGTAAAGAGTAAAATGATTCAGCTGGAGTACTGCATGTCGGAGGACAATATAGCTGATAATTTTACTAAAGCCCAAGGTGCCATTAAGCACCTAGAGAGTTGTAAAAAATATGGGTTCAGATTGTAAGGGCATTATATATTTATATCACCCAAAAGGGGAGAATGTTGGGTATATGAATACTCCAACTATTTTGGGTGAATAAATATATGAACCTAGGTTTAAGTGTTTGCAGCTTTAAGCACAAAAACTGCAATGTAATCTGATAATTAAGGGTGCGGTTGCAAGCTGCAATAATAAGGCAGTGAGAGAGACGTAACACTTCCTGGTTACTGGTTTCTGATTCCTGGTGTTACTGGTCGCTGGTCTGCTGGTCTCTCTGATCTCTGCTGCCTGCTGTTTTACTCCTGTATGAGACGTCTGATTGTTGGCTACTGTGCAAGATACCGTTTCTACTGAACAAAAGGACTGTTTACATGGTGTGCTGATATCCTGTGTATACTCAGCGTTGTCTTTGAGAGAAAGGTATCGGAAGGAGAAGATTTACAAGCAGATAAAGACATTGTACTGACTGTTAATAGACTAGGTAACTGGATTGATATACTGGATACTGACATATGGACTGAATGACACTTCTTAATCTCTGTGTGAATTAAATAACTATTTAAAAACTACAAACAGTGTTTTTGTCTCCAGTGTGTGTATACTCTTGGGCCCAGCCTCTCTCTCATTTTGGCTGCCTGGCTTGACTGCTGCTGTGCACTCTGCTTGGGGGTTTGTCCCCAAACACTAACAACTTTTGAGAATTATAATTAATTTTTTATATGTAAAAATTCAGATTGAACAATTTATCCTTTTCCCTAATAGAAACAATAATATTATCTTTACCAATAGCTGTACAGGTAGTTCTCAACTTACAACAGTTCATGTAGTGACTGTTTTAAGTTACAACGGCACTGAAAAAGTGAGTTCTGATCGTTTTTCATACTTATGACTTTTTGAGGATCCACATGGTCATGTGATCAAAATTCAGATGCTTGGCAACTGACCTTTTGAGACTTTCTGACAAGCAAAGTCAATGGGGAAGCCAGGTTCACTTAACAAACAAATGTGTTACTAACTTAATAACTGCAATGATTCTCTTAAGGTAATAAATATGGGGCAAAATTCACTTAACAACTGTCCCACTTAGCAATAGAAATTCTGGGCAAAATTGTGGTCATAAGTCAAAGAGTATACTGCTTTATGGTTAACTCTAAAATTACAAACAGTCGGCTTTTTGACAATTGAACCATCTACAGGTTAAACCTGCATTTACAGTAAAATATGCAAAGAACAATTTAGAATAAAGAATAATGAGGAAAGGGAGGAGGGATTTCAAAGCTAGAAAATCCATTTCAGTATTTCATTTTACTTCTAAGGATCTGAATTATAATACTTCAGAATGATGGTAAAGTACAGCATATTAATACTGCATTATGAAATGGATATAGAAAATATATCTTATTGGGGTAGTAATCTGAAGGCATAAGGCATTACCGGTTTCTTTACTTCATTGGTAATCAAATGAATATGCTGATAGCCAACTGCAGTAGCTGATATTATTGTTGCTCCTGGTTTATGATGAACTAAAACAGTTTGCAGACCTAAAAAGGGTGGAGAAAATTGGAAAAGAAGTGAGTACTGCTGAACAAACCATTGGAACACAGGACCATAGCAATAAAATAGCCTTCACAGTTATACAGCCTCACACCCTGCCCTTCCATTTTTTAATATCCTTACAAAAATATGATAAAGTTTCATTCCAGGAAGCAAGGGTTGGTAGTGATGGAATAACTAGTATTAGTATCACAAGGAAACTGAATGAATATTTTAAAAAATGTGAGGGAACAGTACCTTGCATTTTCTTCTGACTGTTTCCGTGATCTTTCATAGACAGTTCCATAGGCATCCTGGCCTCTATGCTAGCTAGTAAATGGTTTGTTGAATCCCAGGTTATAGTTAGAGAACTAAAATTGTCAAATTTATGCCCCTGATGATCATAAACATCTAGCTCCAATACTGGATTGCGGAAAATGGAAATAGGAACCTAGAAAATAATTATTTTGTTTATAAATATGAAAAACATATTTCAAAATACACATGCATCTGAGTGCACAAAGATAATGCACAAGATTAAAAACAGGCCATATTCTGCTATATTGAACAAACTAGATCTTTAACTATTTCAGCAGCATTTTGGAACGTAGCTGTAGACAGGCAGCTTTCCAATGCAACTGAGATATCGAAAAGGCATCTAACTTGCAGGAGAGCTGGGGCAATTCTACATATTACAGTTTTCCTTCTGCAAGACATCTCCCATTTGCTCCGTGGAGTTCCAGATTTAAGATGTGAAGGTGCAGAGGGCAAGGAGAATCAGATCCACAGCTATGGCTGGAACAATTGAAGTATATGTCTTGATACATTTGTTCCCCCAGGCCTTGTGAATAGGGTTTTGAAAGCATCATAAAAGTTAACCCCAACCCCGTTCAAAGGTATCATGGTGGTTTATGGCCAAATCATTTTCCTGAAGGCAAGTTCATGAAGTTGCTTCTCTCGGTTCTTAATCTCCCAGGATATTTTCTACCACCATGGCTTATTTTTCTCCAGGGCAATTGGGAGCCTTCTAACCAAAGCATTGAACAAAACCATTATCATTCTTTTTGTAAAATAAGTGTGGCTCTTCTGTAAACAATTCTTATAAAAATATAGAAGTGGGAATTAGCTTGTATCAGCTTCCTCTCTGCCTGCCCGATCTCAGTAAAAATGCATTGAATTAGGCAGATCCGAAATGAGGGTGAGCACCAAGGGAAGTACAGTATTTAGTGTTACCACTTTCTCTTCCACCAATTCATACCTACCCCTTGTTTGTCCTGATGAAGGAAGGGACAGGAAACATCCATCTCAGGATCAGCAGATACAAGTGCCAAGGAAAGCCGAGAAGGAGTGGCACAAATCAATGTCACATCAGCTGACTCAACAGCTGGAAAAGGGTTGGTTACAGAGGGCTTGTTGCCAATTGTTAGTGAAATTACCTGCATAAACATTGGTAAGAATAAATAATAATAATAAAAGTTTGTACATCGCAAAACACTTCTTTTTTTTATGCAATACTGTTTAAGACAGATCATTATGGTTGAGTATTTGTTTCAGTAATAGCCTGAAATGTTGACAAATAAAGATATGTCATTCTGACATTTATTTTCAAAAGCAGTTCTCGTCCATTATCGGAGTGCCACTTTATTGCTCCTTTACCCACTTTAACACTGCAAAATAAAATTATGTTTTTAGGATTTTGAAACAGATGGCTGATCTTTATGAAAAGAAGGGACATGTGCACATATAAGTGACTGCTTCAAGAAACACTATCTTATTACTGTATTTTAATGATAGAATGTTTTTATGGGCAGAAGTAACATTCTCATATTTACTGTTTATTCCAAGTAAATTTAGATTATATGAATACTTTAGGTAGAACTTCCATAAGGTGCTGTTGCACAAAATACATTAACAATACTAAAAAAGAAGTTTAATGCAGCAAAATGAGAATGTTATAAAACTATTTTCTTTAGTATTTCTTTTAATTGTTGTATTCATGTCTAATACCTGACTTTTATCATCACAATTTGTTAAATGAATCATACTAAATTGTTAATAAGAAGAAAGTTTAATTTTTCAGGAAAAAAATCTTACTGATGCTACATTTCCAGATTCTATTAAAGTTAAAGACCGTGTGCTCAGATAATCATTAGCTTATTCTATTAGATTTTATTTTTAGACAAGTAATAGTTATGGATCAGTAAAAACCAGTGAATGTCAGGTTAAAAAAATGTATCATTCTTATAATAAGGTTAAATTATCAGTGATAATGACCAGAATCTACAATCTTGGGTTATTGTGGATGTATCCAACTCTAGCAGCATAAGAAATGGTTTTTGAGCACATGTTACTTGAAAAATTTAAGAGACTATATTTTTTATGAAAGTCTTATCCTTTTAGGATATAACTGCCTACATTTCCCTCTATCCCCAAATCTCAAGTCCTGCTCAGTTGCCTCGTAGGGATGTTCCTGGAAGAGCTGAGTAAAGGACAATAGGAGTGAATGACAAGAGTATTCCCAGCACAGTTACTCAAGGCATGAAAGTAATCCAGCTGCCCAGCTGAGGCAAGCAGACATTTATATTAGGCAAAAATGATGTAAGAAGATGCTGAAGGAGAGTGACCATTTTACTGATAATGGCAGACACATCCTTTAATAATGCACAGGAAAATGCAACGATAAAGCTTTCCTGTATTTTAGCAAGGAAATCTAATAGAAAGGAAGAGTAAGAAGTTGATTATACAATCCAGGTGATGCTCTTCTCAGATTGGATGGCACTCAAAATGCTACTGAGAAAGAATTGAGAATCTTCTGGAGATAAAATGTCTTATGTTATGGCTACATTTAAGTCTTTTGCTGTCTAGCTACTGATGTTGCCATGCAGGAAAAGAAAATCTAAAACTGAAAAGACACAATTACATGGAACAAGAAGTGTGAACATTGGAAAATGAACATAGTGAAAGATAAAATATCAGACAGACAGTAAAAATTGCCAAGAAAAGAAAAGCCAGCCAAGAAAGATAAAGTTTTCAGGAAGGAACTGAACAAAGGATTTCATAGAGCTGTTAGAAAAAATAAGTAGCACTATTATAATAACCTCTCTAAAAATACTGAAGATTGAAACAGACATGGAAAAACAAGGAAAATTTTCCCACCAAAAAATATTTCCACTCCCAAATAAGTTCAACCTTCAAATTGCTATGCCAGTCAATAGTATTTGATTCAAAGAAGATCAAAGAAAGATGGAAGTCTTATAAACTTATATACAGATACTTATATTCTGTAAAGTAGAAATGGTCAATATCTAAAGATCTAAACATCTAAAGAGCTTAGAACAGGGTCCCCACCCCTCAGCTGCACAAGCAGTGGGAGAGCACATTTGCATGCGCAGATCCATTTACATGAGCGGCTGGTGCTTGCACTCGTGTGTGAAACTTCATTTGTATGACTGGTATGGGTGTGCACTTGTTGCTTGTGCAAATAGACCTGCATGCACAAGTGCACACAGCCACCACTTGTACAGCCCAGAACCATCTCCTCTCTTCCCCCACCCTGCTGATTCATAAAGCTGAAAAGTTGGGGACCGCTACCATAGGAGAAGATACTTATATGGCAGAGAACTTAAAAGAGTTCCTATAGTACTAGATGGTTAGGAGACCATTCTGGTCACTAACAATATGAAGGTTATAAGATTTAGGCCTATGGGCAGGATCCTGCTCATGAGGTGCTTAGATCTAGCCACCCTGGAAACAGCAAAGGATTGGCCCGCAGTGCCTACGCCAGCAAAAACAGAGCTTGGGAGGACAACGCAAGGCCCTCCCAGGCTCTATTTTCAACCACAATGGCCTACCCAGGCTCTGTTTTTGCTGGCAGAGGACTGCAGGAGGCCATCACGGCTGAAAACAGAGCCTCAAGAAATGAGGTCAGGCTGGCCATGCCTATTTTGGCCACATCTACCCCCCTCCCCGAGGTTAACCAGAACCCTGATGAAACCCTCAATGAATTCAAGTTTGACACTCCTGCTCTGAAGATTCTAATCAAGCTATGTCAGCAGACCTGGAGAACAACACGGTGACCAACAGATCAGTCCATATAGTACTCTTAAATCCCCCTTTGGGGTAATTATTTACTACCCCAAAAGGAAATGTAAGAGTGTGTGGAAACTATCATACAAGATCCTTGATATCACATGCTAGCAAAATAATATTTAGATTGATCTAAAAAAAGGCTTTCAATCCTACATGGAAAGAGAGATGCCAGATGTTCAACCTGGTTTTTAAAAATGCTGATGCTGATATGCACTGGATAATTGAAAAAAAATCAAGCAAGCAAAAAAGTTAATTTGTGCTTCAGTAATTACAGAAAGATATGTGATTATATAAACTGTGTCAGGCGATAGCATGTGAGAAGAAAAACTGGATTTCAAAATTTTTCATTGTATTCACACATATATACAGAATAGAATGTGGTAAAACAGACTAGGTCAGGGTTAGTAATGGAGCCAGATAAGACCGTATATTCTTTCCTTGTTTGTTCAGCCTACATGCCAGATATGTATATTGAGAGTCTGTGAATTTAAGAAGCATGGTTTTAAAACTGAAGGAACAAACATCAAGAGCCTGCACTATGCTGACAGAAAAATTCTGATAGATGGGATAAAAAAATATATTAATGCTTTTAAACTTTGGCCTTGCAAAAGACTCCTCAGAATATTATGGATAGTGAAGAAAGCAAACCAATCATAGAACAAATCAATTCACCCTTTTTATTAGTGGCATAAATGACCAGACTCCCATATTTTAGATATATGAAGATCCAGCTCCTATGAGAAATCATAATGCTGGTAAAAGCAAAGAAAAGAAACAAAAAGAAAGGGACAACAGGTAGCAAGAGGATTCAGTGATGTTGATGTTGGATGCACAATTAGGTAGGGTCAGGTTGGGGACAGATTGCCCTGGACGTGTAGTTATGCAATGTCACTAAGATTTGATAACACATAATCACTCAACCAATCAGTGATTATATTTGATTATGGCTTTTTGATTGCATTCACTCATATTGATTTGCAAAAGTGTGCTATTTTATCTGAAGCATTAAAATTTAAAAGTCATACCTGCAATTTTTTTAAAAAAATCAGTGAACAAATTCAAAAGTTAAATTGTTACATTAAGTGTACAGGGAAGATTTTTTTTTTGATCCTTTGTGAAACTAATCATTATGTTATTACTTTTACTTTTGTTTAAATGTCATTTTAAACTTTTAAATTTTAAAAAACTTTTAAATGTCATTTTAAAATTTGTTTAAAAGATGCTTTTCAGATTTTTTTTCTGCTGCTTTTTACTCTTATGAGTCTTGAGGAATAATGTGTAATATAATAAGTAATTATGTTCAGTCAGGAAACACACACACTGAGTTAAAGCATTGGCACTTTTCATGATATAAAATCATTTGTAAATTTAACAAAATTTAATTCTTATGAGTTAAACAGCATAAGGATCAGCAACTGATTCATGCATCCAAATGTCATAATAGTTATGATTATGCAAGGTAACTATTAAACACCTTATTTCTTGTATCGACTGTTAAAATAAACCACCTCAATTCCTCTCACCTAAAAAATACAGCAAACTTTAGAATCAAAATTTATCTCACTCACATGATCCCCAAGGGCTTTACATGTTGCTCTAGCCCAATGCTGGAAATAATTCCTAGATGTAGCTGGTCCTAGTAAATGTAAGCCAACATTTTCTGGATATTCCGTATTGGTATCTCTGAAGAACTTAGTTGGCTCTTGAATCCAGGGTCTGGGTCCACCTTCAAAGAGGATATCTTTAGAAGAACCCAAAGTTACCAAAGCAGCAGAAATAGGGTCAATAATCTAGGAGAGAAAATGATAATGATTTAGATCATGATAATATTATCAGTAATTTTGTCAGAAATTATTAATCTTGTTAACTAACCTATACAGTTTTTCTCAAATTAGACATTGCACAATACCCATAAAAAACTGCAGTGATGTCAAAAAAAATGACAGATGTCATGACCTGATCATATACGGAATGAAATTAATGCTTGTATATATGACATGTATGTAGAGTAAGCTGTATATATTACATCATGAAGTCAGCAGGACCCCAAATTGGGCACATTATATTTCTGAGGCAGTGCAACCACCATCTCAGAACCAGGAGGCTCTAAAATCCAGAGCCACTCAGTTTTACGAGATTTGAGTTGAAACATGTTGTTGCTTAGCCAGATCAAAATAGCTTTCAAACACCAAGACAGGACCTCCAAAATATCAATCAGATCATCTGGGATGGAGATTCATAACTGAGTATCATCTGCATATTGATGAAGCCGAGTTTGAACTGGTGGATGATTCCACCTTGTGGCTTCACGTAGATGTAAAGCAAGAGAAGAGATCATACTAAGCTGTGCAGCATGCCGCATAACAGGGCCTACTGGATGCATGTCTCCTCTTCCTATCAACAGCAACTGGGGTGGCCCTGGAGAAAGGAAGACAACCAGCATAGTACAGTGCTGGTTAACAACAGCCAGAGCCAATCCAGAAAGATGCCATGCAAAGCTGCTGAGAGATCATGGTGCTTTATCATTCAGTTGTGTAGCTATTCCACTTGAAGGATTAGAAGCAGATGTTCCCGTTTGCTTCAGAGAGGCATTTTGATATCAGCTCAAAAAACAAAGCATCCTCTGAAATATTTCCATATTGAATAATCTAGGAGGGTTTTAGTTGTTTCCAGTGTGTTTTTGCTCACCAACACTAATGCTCAGATACTTTTTGTGCATGCTCAATTCTTTTCTTTAGGATTCTACTGTACAACACTTGTAATTCAGGCAAAGGATAATTTTTTCCAAGATAATTAATGGATTTGGTAACCTGCCTGCAGAAAAGAATCACATGAGAGGAAATTCCAGCATGTTTTGTTATTTTGCTCCACCTTTCTATATACAATAATATTATTTTTTGGTTAATTTTCTTTGAATATTCTGTACTCAAATTAATGGCAGTTATACTCAGGGGGAATTTTTCCAGCTGCTTTCAGTAAAGTAAATCTTTCTAGTGTTTCCTGAAAACAAAATTCTAGACTTATATAAATAGCAGCATTTGATGATGCACACCTTCATAAAATAAGGGAACAAATAGCCATAAAAGCAAGCAACTGTTTCAAGTGGAGTAGCTTGAACTGCAAGACCGGTGTAAACTTGCATTTGGTTTTGGAAAGTTCCAATTATTAGAATACTAAGCTGTTATAACTGTTTTTAAATAGCATTAACATTTTGATATAGTTATACACAATAAAAACTAGTAGGTGATTCAGTTAATGTCCAGGATCTCAGAGAATCATGAGGAAAATAGGATATGTTTGAGTTTTTTGTAAAAAAATAATAAAACCAGGATGCAAATAAAAACAAACAAACAAACAAATAAAATCTAGCTGTAGAAGACTTCTCATCTAATCTTACAAAAAAAGTTCCAGGCTTTATTTTTATTTTAAATACTACTACATGTGTATTTTATGAAAAATACACATGATTAAAAGTCATGGTATACATTTGAATAAATATTTCTATTCATTAAATTTTATTTTATGTTCTATTTTATTCTTTTATTCTATTTAATTTTTTATTGTTTTTAATGTATTAAGGTTAGTTAATGTTATTGCTTATTTTGTTATGAAGGTGGTTGTTTGATTTGCTGTGCAGCCTTCTGAATTTCTTAAAGGAAAGACAATTCAGAAATATTAAAGAATAATAATAAATAAATACCCCTGCAATCTTATAAGCACATACTGAGGATAATTCCAAACAGAAACTTCCATAATCTGATGTTTCACGTTCATTTAATTGCAAGCAAAAGATCAGTCATTACATTTGTTTAGTTCACTTGTTATCTTAAATTAGTTCATACTGTATAATCAACATATATTGAAGAAAGTATTTATCAGAATTAGAAAGAAAGCTTTATTAAACCAAGGCTTACTTTTATTGGCAGGTAGGCTGCTATGGTAATACTGGCACTGAGGTAAATATGGTCATGAGTATAACTAACAACAAGTGAGGAATGCCCTTGGGTTTCAGCTTTAACTCTGATCCCACTGCAGTATTCAGAAGTTGGCTTCAGTCTTCCTGTTTTTTTAAAAAAAACCACAATAGAGCATAACATGAAATAATATTTACACTACACTTTTAAATGTTGATTTAAAACTTGCCCATGCTAATAAACATACGATTACAAGTCAATGTACTAATAAAACAAATAAACAAAAGGCAAAATAGCCAATTGCAGAGAATAAAATAGAACCTCTGTCAAAAAAGATACTGAGTCTGTCTGGTTAACATGATGTAGTAATCATGATTACAAACTGATGAAATAAGAAGTAAATGAGAACATTCCAATGCCAGACTAACCACAGTGTGCATATGAACACTCTATTGTCTAAAACATTTGGAGGAATGATGTCATTGATTTTTCTTGGAAACCTCTAAATAGGACTTTTGAAAGGCATCTTGTACAGAAAGAGAGCCCTTCTATTGTGCTGCTCTCAGTGCCCACAAAATCTGGCCTGGGTGGCAGGGGCATTCCTGGAGCAGATTTTGGAAAGATATACAGGATGAATAATAACAAGAGAAAGTTTTATTCTTCAAGTGCACAGGCACTCTAAAAACTCTGCCTCTAACCAAAAATGATTTTACTTGTCTCTAAAAGATTTCCTGATGGAAAAGTGATTATGCAAAGTCCTTATTTCAGGTGCCCCACCCCCCACCCCCACCCCCCAATATATTGGGATAGAGAAAACAAAGAAATATTCTCAGTTATTCTTGGCCTGATCTGACTTCTAGTTTTATTTGAAAAAATAATACTTGCCTAAAAGTTTTCAGAAATATTAAACTATATTAAATATTAACTGACAAAGAATCAGCAACAAGACATGTAGGAAAATGTTCAACCCAAGTCCTAAGTGGATAAGTAATACTTAAACCTACGAGGGGTATTTTATGAATTACTATAATAGAATCATTTTTGTTTTGCATCTTAGACAAATTTTATCCACCCCACTGATGTATGCTTAATTACGAGATAAATGTATATAATGTATAAACCATAATATTAAACATTTAAAAGCATTTACTATCAATAAAGGAAATAATTACTATATCAGGAAGGAAATTTGTCCATTTACTTAGACATTAAATTTTATTGTAAGTTACCTTGAAATGGACTGAACACATCGTGATTTTCAATGTTGACAACTAAATCAAATTGTGAGCAATCACTTAGAGTGACCACCTCATTGGTTTCCTTGTTCATTACACCAATAATCTTCAGAGGCAGGTCCAGTGTCTGGCCTACATGTGCTTCAACTGGACAAGGTGTGAACTTCATATCACTGGGTTCTATCACATAAACCTAGGAGACAAAAATAAAGAAAGACACAAGATAAAGACTGAGATACAAATCTTGAACTGGAATTTAGAAACAAACAAACAAAACCCAATCTAATTAAAACAAATTTCATTTTAATTGCTTGAACATTAATGGCACAAGTTCATAGGTTGATTTATTGATTTGGAAGCAGCCTATTTCAAACTGTCAGTCATACTAAATCACTTTGTGTCTAGTATCTGTATTAGACAATATCTGTAGGGTGCCCATCTTTATTATTTTGCCAGCCTTCAAACCAAACACTTCAGAAAGCCCTGGTTTGTAACACAACAAACTTGGTTTATGAGTGGCAACTTACAACAGATTGTTAAGTGCAATCAATAGTGTGTTTTCTGTGGCATCTGTATGAAACTGCTACCTCAAATACAGGGGTAAACCAACACTTGGTTTGCATTTATTTCTTTATTATTGATAAAGAAAACATCACAGATGGATGGTAACATTTCATAACAACTACAGGATCAAAGATTTTCATTTGGCATGTCTAATTTTCGAAGCCATCTGCTTACTGCTTCAGGTTAAATTGTAGACCATATGGTATGGTGTTAAAATTGTAATCCTTGTGGAACTTATACACTACTTGCATAATCTGATAATCAAGGTCAGCAGGCAGATGCTTTGTTCAAGCAGAAAATGCAAAGTGTGAGCCATTTAAAATCTTAAACTGAAGATGTTAGTTTAATTTAATATTAGTTCCTTACAAATACAAGTGGGGTAAAGTGCACTCCTATTGCTATGTGCTCTGAATCCTGAGTCTGAAAGTAGACTTTTAATTAAACACATCATTTCTGAACCTTCTGGAAAAAAGTCACATTTGCTGAAAGTTTTGGAAGCAACAGACATTTATTTGAAATTTAGTAGGAGAGGACTGAAGATAATATTTCAGTATTCATAAGGGACATGTGCAGTTGACTGGGGTGTGTGCAGAAATCATGGCATTATTGATCAGTCATTACATTCACCTGCAACTTCTGAATCTGAGGCAGAGGTTTATAAGGTATATTATTTGAGAGAAGAGTAGATAATTTTGGTGGGTCATTCCTGTCTCCAAATAAGATTTCAGGTAAGTCGTTTTATATGTTTAGGCTTGGATTTGAATTCTTGGCCATGATATTTCACATCCTATGCTTTTTTAAAAACTTGTTCTCAACAGTATGGCATTTTGTATGAAGTCTGCTTCTGAAATACTTTCATTTACCTGTAGTTTTAAAATATTCAGATTAGACTGATGTTCTTTACCCCACATAAACAGTTCACCTAGAAATTAAACTGCCAAGGAAGATTCATCATTCAGGAACATCCCTACTTCTTGACACTACAAGAAGTATCATAAGCCTTCTCTGCAGGTCAGAAGATACATTCTTACAAAATTAGTATTCTTTACCTTCATTTCCCCATGGTGTAAAGGATTCTGAACATCTCTGGCATGAATGACACTGACACCAATTTCATTCCCAGTTGTCATTACGCCCTTAATTGTAATTGAAGCAACATTTTGTTGAGATGAGGTCCAAGTAAAATTTCCACTCCCACCATAAGCCTAGGTTCATAAAAGAAAAGCAAATTAAAACATTAGCTTTATTAATAATTTTTAAAATATACTTCTCTTAATCATTTAACTCAAATTAAAGAGAATACTATAGAATTAGAATGCAGTATTGCAGGCTAATTCTGCCCATTGCCAGGACTTCAATCCTAATGGACTCAAGGTTAACTCAGCCTTCCATCCTTCCAAGGTTGGTAATTGTTGGGGGCAATATGCTGGCTCTGTAAACCACTTAGAGAGGGCAGTAAAGTACTATGAAGCAATATATAAGTCTAAGTGCTATTGCTCCACAAATGTCCATTTCTTTCTGAGCACGTATCAAAATAACACCCATTACTGCAGTATAATACTGCTTTTCTTTTTATCAGAGGTTGTACACTGCTAAAAAAAATAAAGGGAATACTAAAACAACACAATGTAACTCCAAGTCAACCACACTTCTGTGAAATCAAACTGTCACTGATTGACAATCAATTTCACAAGCTGTTGTGCAAATAGAATAGACAACAGGTGGAATGCACAGGCAGTTAGCAAGACATCCCCAATAAAGGAGTGGTTGCAGGCGGTGACCACAGACCACTTCTCAGTTCCTATGCTTTCTGGCTGATGGTTTGGTCACTTTTGAATGCTGGTGGTGCTTTCACTATAGTGGTAGCTGAGACAGAGTCTACAACCCACACAAGTGGCTCAGGTACTGCAGCTCATCCAGGATGGCACATCAATGCAAACTGTGGCAAGAAAGTTTGCTGTGTCTGTCAGCGTAGTGTCCAGAGCATGGAGGTGCTACCAGGAGACAGGCCAGTACATCAGGAGATGTGGTGGAGGCCGTAGGAGGGCAACAACCCAGCATCTCTACCTCTGCCTCTGCCTTTGTGCAAGGAGGGACAGAAGGAGCACTGCCAGAGCCCTGCAAAATGACCTCCAGCGGGCCACAAATGTGCATGCGGCTGCTCAAATGGTCAGAAACAGACTCCATGAGGGTGGTATGAGGGCCCGACGTCCACAGGTGGGGGTTGTGCTTATAGCCCAACACCATGCAGGATGTTTGGCATTTGCCAGAGAACACCAAGATTGGCAAATTCGCCACTGGCGCCCTGTGCTCTTCATAGATGAAAGCAGGTTCACACTGAGCACATCTGACAGATGTGACAGGGTCTGGAGATGCTGTGGAGAACGTTCTGCTGCCTGCAACATCCTCCAGCATGACCAGTTTGGCAGTGGGTCAGAAATGGTATGGGGTGGTATTTCTTTAGGGGGCCGCACAGCCCTCCATGTGCTCGCCAGAGGTAGCCTGACTGCCATTAGGTGCCAAGATGAGATCCTCAGACCCCTTGTGAGACCATATGCTGATACAGTTGGCCCTGGGTTCCTCCTAATGCAAGACAATGCTAGACCTCATGTGGCTGGAATGTGTCAGCAGTTCCTGCAAGACGAAGGCATTGATGCTATGGATTGGCCCACCCATTCCCCAGACCTGAATCCAATTGAGCACATCTGGGACATCATGTCTCACTCCATCCACCAACTCCACGTTGCACCACAGACTGTCCAGGAGTTGGGGGATGCTTTATTCCAGATGTGGCAGGAGATCCCTCAGGAGACCATCCGCCACCTCATCAGGAGCATGCCCAGGTGTTGTAGGGAGGTCATACAGGCACGTGGAGGCCACACACACTACTGAGCCTCATTTTAACTTGTTTGAAGGACATTACATCAAAGTTAGATCAGCCTGTAGTGTTTTTTTCCACTTTAATTTTGAGTGTAATTCCAAATCCAGACCTCCATGGGTTGCTAAATTTGATTTCCATTGATATTTTTTGTGTGATTTTGTTGTCAGCACATTCAACTATGTAATAAACAACGTATTTAATAAGAATATTTCATTCATTCAGATCTAGGATGTCTTATTTTTGTATTCCCTTTATTTTTTTGAGCAGTGTATTTATTGACACATCTCTAAAACATCTCAGTACCAATTGTCTCCAAATATGTTGGATAATTTGAGAGATTTCAATAATTAACAATATCTATAGTCAACTTATTGCTTCCTAGGCCAGCACATAAAAGATCCAAGTGATAGGAATGTCACAATTTTTAGAAGCCGATTAGTTTCCTTACAATGGAACCTGGAGGCAGCCAACTGAATTATTTTGTCTCACTGCAACTAACATGTCTACTTCTAATGACAGAAATTATTTGGAAGTATAAAGGCCAAAGGCACGGAGAATGCCAAAAGAAGAAAACTGATTTCTTCCTAACATGCTTCCTTTATTTTATCCCTAAGGGAAGACTAGCTACATATATACATGGCTACTGAAATTAATCAGAAGTCAGTCACTGATAACAATAAAGAGTAACTGCATTTATTATGATTCCCACAGAGACTTGAATAGTATCATCGATATTTCCAAAGGTCCCGTATCATAATTTTCAAAGGCTACCAATAAAAGAAAATTTACTTCTTTTCAGTTTTTCTAGGTTGAAAAAGAAAATGCAATTTGTTCCACGTTATAACCTATGAATACAGAAAGATGGATTTGCTTGCAAATTAAGCAGCAGGATAGCTCTTTCTAATGCAGCTATCAGTGATCTTTACCATCTGTTTCAACTCTGTAGTTGCATAAAAATCTAGTCTGAAAAGCATCTAGTAGAATCAGCTTAGGTATCACATTGCCAACATGAATATACAATCTACATCAATAATAATAATGGATAATAATAAAATATGTCCATATTTTTTGCTAGCATGACTTCCCATCCGACTTCCTTCCTGCAGTTCCTTTCTAATGCTCCACCAATTTCTTCCATGTGGAGGGCCATGTGTGTGGAAAGGGCTGCACATGAAGTCTAATTTGTCATGGAATTATTCTCAGCAACATTAAGTTACATACAGCAAAGCACAGTAAAAAGCCAAGTGTGGAATTTCTTTTTAAATATAAACTTTATCCTTTCTTTTCCTAATTAATATAACATGCTACATCTAAAACAATAATGATGATCAATGTTTCATTATTTGCCAAAATATTGCATTAATCAGATCGTTCTACAAGTAATTTCTTCATCATAATGACTGATCCTGTTTCTAGCATTAGCAGCTGAAATAGGAATAAAATATGATCTTTAAAGTTATTTTAGAATAAACTGTGGTCCACCTAGTCCAACACTCTGTTCCCATAAGCAAGGTTTCTCAGATACTAAGATGCTTAAAGTGCACCTGTTAATAGACATTACTTACAGATTTCCTTCTGAATTTGTCTAATTGCCATTTCCATTACAATAAGTCACCAGGCTAATAATAAAGATTTATTGTGGAATTCTTGGTGGTCTTGGCTGTTTGCTTGCAGATATTTCATTAGCTGACCAAATAACATTATCAGTGCTAATGAGTGTGGAATTTGTTCTATTTATATGCAGCAGCCTCCCCTACCATTGGGCATCTGTGGTTTTCTATTTGTTAATTGCTTAAGATATTATTTTCTGCTTGTTTGTCTCCTGAGTGGTTCCTTGATTAGAGAATTGTTTTCTGTTTGATATCAATCCCTGCTTATCTGGAAGTTGGCTATTGAAGAGGTGTGTTCTGGTATGTCACTGGCTTAGGGTTTTTAAATATCTCTTTTGAATAGTATATAACTATGGTTTATCATAATGTGACTATTGATGGCATATTTTGTTTTAGTATCAAGGTTCCAAGAATTTCCTAGTGTTTTTGGATTCAGTTTGGTCTAGGATGCTCAGTTTCCAAGGTGAATGGATGGGTTTATCATGGTTCTTAGTATGATTAGACCTGCCCATGTATTATTAAAGTGTTTTCATCATGTCTTCTAACTGCTGGTTGGTGTCAGTGAATGTGCCCTGCTAGTCTTCTGCCTGCCCTTCCTCCATAGTGACTCTTACAGGGCTTACACCCTATGTTGTAGATGAATCCTGTTTTTTCTTTTGGGGCTGCTGGCTCTTTAAGCTTACTCAGAATGTTTTGGAGGGCTTTAATTGGTTTCTGTATTATGGCGATACAACAGTGTTTGTAGAAGGTTTTTTGGTTAGTTGTTTCTGAGTTGCTTCTGATATATGACTGTGTTCTCTTTTTCACAGCTTAAGTTGGTTTTGTTGTAGTGGTTTGAGCAGTCAGATACTTTTTTGATAAAGTTGTATTGATATCCATTGTTGTAACATGACTTTATAGGCAGTTTCTTTCTTTCTGTTATTCTAGATTGCTGGGTCCATTTGTGCTTATCTGATTTACATTGCAACAATACAAGTACAGTAAACAACACCCTGCTATGCTGCCTCATGATGCTAGAGGGTTGCTCCTGGAAAGGATGGTTGAAGAACGCTGGGAGTTATGTCCAAAGTACATATTCTCATCATATAATTCACTCAGATGTGAATATGGCTAAACCAAGTTGGTACCTATATTAGGAAGCTGTGATATAGGACAATGCTAAAGACAGTTGATCACTTTAGTGAGTGTGGCTGAGGCATCAATTCATACTGTGTGGAAAAAGACCCTGAGAAACTACTGCTGTCTTTTAACCAAGAAAACCACATGGATAGAAAATATTAAATAATTGACAATATTATGCTGGATGATAGTTCTCTCAGGTCAGATGGCATTCAACATGCTACTGAAGAGAAGTTGAGGATATTTTGGAATACTAATAGGGTTTATGCTCGGCTGTATTAAAACCTTTGAAATATCTAATTGCTGATGTTGCCATACAGGGGGAAAAAAAATCTGAATCTGCAATGAAAGAATTAAGTTTGGAATATGGAAGTACGAACATTGTACTCTTTGTACAAGCTCTACCCATTGTAAAGCTCTATAGTGAAAAATGATATCATCATCTTCATTTAACAACCCCATAATTCCTTCTGGGGTGGAGTCTCGGCAACTGAATGGAGCTAGCAGAGTGTTTTATAATGGCCGGATGCCCTTCCTGTAACCAATGCATAGTTTTGTTCAGCAGTTATATTCTCACTGAGAGAAATATCTGCCTCTACCTAGGATTGAACTCACAGCCTCCTGATTGTGGGCCACCACACACTCTACAGTGAAAAATGACATGAACTCTCTTATTTCCACGAAGGTCATCTTATGTACTTTCTACATGAAACCAGAGTTCTCATTTAAGGCTCAAAGGACACATTATGTGGAAAACTTAACTCTCTGGAGATGGCTGTAATGTCAAGGAAGATGGAAGGAAAGAAAAGAGGATGACCAGTAACAAAGTGGTTGGCTCATTTATAATGATTTTACTGCTGGAAGACCTGGTGGGCTAGATTAGGGACAGATTATTACAGAGAATATTCATGTGATTACTAAAGGTTGAGCCTGACTTGATGGCACATTATCAGTCAATAGAACAAATAAGCAATTAAAGATCTAAAACAACATACACTGTCTGAAAATCATAAATAATCTTCCACCCAAATAGCAGACAAGCATAGCTTAGCTTTTCCTCCTAAGGAAATAGCTCTATTCATTTTCCTATCCTTCCTGTATCTATAGTATTATGTACTATGTTTTAAGTTGGAATCAACCACCTTATTTTTCTTTTCTTCCTAAATATTACCAATATAAAAATCTTTTTACAGAAGCTACAATTAATAACAGCTACAAGCCATAGTCAATTAGAAGAACTGGTCGATGTGAAAATGGCTATATTCCTATTAATGAATTTCATATGTAACTCTGAAGTGCAAACATTCAACTGATCTTCACTGAGTCTTTCAGGAATGCAATGCAATGCAATCTTGTGGAATTTACTCAGAAATAAATGAGGCATTAATTAATGGGCTTATTCCCAGCTATTAATTAACCAGAACTGCATAGTTTTATTCAAGATTATTTTTTTCATCTTTAATTAGATAGACTAACTAAAAAAGAATCACCAACTTCTGTGTCAACCAGCTTGACACTTTTTAAAAGCATGTTTCACATAGATATCTGTTTTGAAGAAAAGCATTTCAGTCATAGCCAAAGGATGAATCTTTTTGTAAACAATTCAAAGACTTTTAAACTTTAATTGAGCTAACTTTAAAAAAAATCCTTGCATAACAGAACTTTTTTGAAGAAAAGCACTTCTGTGAAAAAAAACGTATTCTTGAAATTGAAGAAACATGAAGAGTACAGAAGAAACAGTATGGCTGGAAGAATATATAAACACAGCGCAATATTATAACAATAGTGGGGGGAGCGAGGGAATAGAAGTGTCAGGTTCTAGGCCAATTCTTCTTCCTTTGGGAATGGATACAGATGTAGGTTTAGGGAACTAACTAGCACCTAATCAAGTCCTTTTTTATAATTGCCATTTGCTTTTAATTTTTTTTGTCATTTTTATATTTGAAATCTCTATCGAAATTTCTCATTTGCGGATTACATAAGTTTAAAATGTTTCTAAATTATAAGATAAAGTAAAATGAAGCCTTTAAGGACAAAGGTGGGAAACTAAAAACAAGTAATAACAAAACCACATTTCCCAAGAGAAACAAGATTATAAGCCATCAACCTAATAGCATACACTGGAACAGTAATGGATCCAATTTCTAAGTTTGCTGTATTCTGTTCTTAGATGGCTTCAATACATACCAGGATTCTGTACTGATATGCTCCTGCTTTTGCTTGCCATGGAAAGGTCAATATGCTTGGTTGAAGAACAATGGGAGCATAGATATCTACTTCTTGTTGATTTTGTGCAGGAACAGAAAAGGTGTGCACACCTCCATCCTAATAAAATAAATATGCATTCAATAAATATTTTTAAAACCTATTTTTATTGGGTAAGGTGCAATGTGCAGAGAAGCATTTCATATACTTTCCTCTCTCCTCCCTGCCCAGCCTCAACCCTTCATTTATAAGAGGGTTCCACAAAAAGAACTTGATTCCTAGAGATTGCTCTCCTCTTGTAGGATCATCAAGGAAACCGAGTGGGAGCAAGTGGCCAGTTTTAAGTTTCTGGGTGTTACCATAAAACAGGACCTGACTTGGGGTGCTCACATTGCAGCACTGGTCAAAAGGGCCCAGCAGAGATTATACTACCTGAGACTTCTCAGAAAACAACAACTGAATGAAAAACTGCTGGTGACCTTCTACCGTTGCACCATAGAAAGTATCTTAACTTACTGCACCTCTGTATGATTTGCCAATTACACAGTGGCAGATAGGAAAGCACTCCAGATGGTTAACGTCATTGCCCAGAAGATCATTGGTTGCCCTTTCCCCTCTTTGGAAGAGCTTTATAGCTCCTGCTGCCTTAAGAAAGTTCAAAACATTCTCAAAGATCCATTTCATCCTGGGAACCCTTTTTTTGAACTATTACCATCTGGCAGATGGTACAGAATATTAAAAACAAACACAAATAGGCTGAAAAACAGCTTTTATCCCAGGGCAGTAGCTCTTTTGAATTCTGCTGTTTAGTGCAATATCGGTGTGGTGTCGGGGGGGAGGAGTTGGTTCAATTTGTGGAGGGTGAAGGATGCATGTTTGTGTTTATTGTCATGGTCATGATGTGCACTGAAGATGCTGTTTGATTTCGTTGTACGAGGTGCAATGACAATAAAGTAAACTAAACTAAAATCATAAGAATCTTGTGGAGGGTCTGTCATAACTTTGAACAGTCACTAAATGACTAGTTGTAAGTTGAGAACTTACCATATTGGTTCCAAATGTGCAAATGAAACTGACCAAGATTTCACCTTCAAAAAATGTTCAAAGTAGGTTTTCCTGTGTGGAATGGGGGGAATGCCATCCACCATAGAACTACTGTATTTTAATGGGAACTGTACAAATACTTTTTATAGCTTAGTAATATACAATAAATTATTTATGCACATGCATGCACATGTATAACAAAGAATTCTTTTTAACCTTCTGTTTTTCCCCCATTGCTAAATAAATCACTATAACTATAATTATATCCTTAAACAAAGTATTTGCTACAGTTGGTGAAAGGCAGCAATTTCCACTTTTTTATAATCCATTTTGAATATATTGTATGTAATATGTAATATATTGCAAATTGTAATTCTGACAACATTCATGAGAATAGTTTTCATATGAGTATTTTTGATTGGATTATATTTTAAATTTAAACAAGTAAATTGGCTAAATGTGGTAATAATTAGTAGTCTACTTATTAACTGGATAAGGTTCCCTTAAAGCCACTATTTTCAAGCATCATACCTGATCTACAATAGATGTTAGTTTAGCATCAAGAATAATATGTCCTTCTTTTATTGCTTTTACATAGTGATATGAACCATTCAGAGAAGACCTCACAACTTCAAAATATTCTCTTGAGAAGTACGTATCAATTCTGATGTTCTGAAATTTAAAAAGGAATAGTTATCAAATACATTTTGAATACAAGCATATCTTAATAGAAATACCATTAATATAATCTGATGGAAAAATATGTGCTCAGTTTTTTTTAAAGCAGTCAGATGGAATCAATTTTTCTAGTTTGTCATTTTTTTCAAAATAAATTGCATTATGTATGTTGCACTTCCGTAAGGAAATCAAAATGAAAGAAAAAGTAGTGAGTGGTGCAACTTCTGTTATTATCAAATCCATCCTGAGTTGTAATGATTACCATGCTTTTTAATGTGCTTGCAGTTTATCTTTTTTTCTGATTTGCTCTATGATTTCCCAAATACTGACATCAGTTTACTCTCTTGGGATATGAGATAATATTTTCCCTCCTTCAATAATCCATGGTCTAAGGTATCTCAAGACAATGAAAAGCTTGAAAAAAAAATGTAGCAAGCGAAGTGAAAATATAGCAAATGTAGAACCATTCCAACATCTGAAATAAAAAACCTAATTAACTGCTATGATGCTCAACATAAGGTCACACTGCCTAAACCATACTTTATCAGAACTACATATAACCTGCTATTAAGCACACACTAAGAAATTGAGATTTTTACAGGGCAAATCTTGTAAAAAGTTTGTGCCCTATAGTTTTATTGAAAGACTTTTCATTAGTACTTTACTTTCAATATACATATGCATAAATCTGTTGTCAATTCAAAATAAAAGAACTATAAAATGGCCACTGCCATCCTGAACATTAATAAGCCAGAATAAACGTCAGTGTGTTATATCTGCTTAAAAGGTGTGGACTTCTGCTTTTCAACAGATGATCTATGATCTTAATTTTCCTAGAAAATTTTACTGTTTCCATAAAACAGTGCAACTTCTGTTAAAAATGCAGTATAAAAGGCCAATTTTTAAAAAGCAAAGAGATAGCTTCAGGGTGGGGATTACAAGTTATAAGTTGTTTCACATTTGAACTAATACTGGTTTCTTTGTTCACATGGTATTTATGTTTTCTTTTCACTCTAATCTTAATAGTATTCCTGACTGAAATGTCTCATCCTTATCATTATACTGTATACATGATGTGATTTTTCAGAAAAATGCTTATTTATGTTTCTCTTACCTCAGATAAATACACTTTATTGCTTGATTTGTCATATACTTCAATAGTGATTTCATAGAACCTCTCAGTTTCCAGCACCCATCTCTCACCAGGATGAATTGAAAATCCTGCACAGCAAAAGCACTGAAAGTCGTAGAGTTACAGAATACTCACTTGATCAAAACACATCAGAGTGACATAAAGTGTGATTCTATATAAACTTTTCTATAAGGGGGAAATAGGTGATTACTGAATGATATATAAGATTACTGGATTTTTAATGGGAAAATAATTTTCTGCTGAACGGTAAGGTCAATTGGAAAAGAATTGAAATGGAAATGGGCTGGTCACATAGCACGAAGAACTAATGGCAGGTGGACCAAGACAGTCATAGAACAGATCCCATTTCAAAGAACTCTGAAGAAGGAGATTAAAGATGGAACAAATATAAAATGGATTGCACTTTTGGACAACCTCTGATGTAATTTATGATAAGCTGTCCAACACATGCAGTGATAAGAGCATACAATATTTGAGTTAATAGCCCTCCTCCTTCTGAAAAATGTAACAATGTGAGTAGTCAATTTAATAATAGTAATAATAAAGTTGCAAAAACTGCTGAAATCATATAAAAGACAAAGTAATAGGAAATGAAGAAGCTAACGGGTTCTAGGACATTAGAATTCAAACAGACAAGCACCTGCCACATAATATCCCAGATTTAACAATTATTGATAAGAAGGGCAAAAAGTCAGTACCTGGAGACAGGAGAATAGAAAGGAAAGAACTGTAGAAAATCACAAAACACAAAGATCTGCAAATAGACGTAAAGTAATTGTGGGAAAAGAAACCAAAGTATAGTATAAGGAGTATAATATTAATAGGAACTTTGGATGCATTTCCGAAACATCTGGATCACTACTCAAACACCATCAATGTTGACAAAACTGCCATCAGATAATTCCAAAAGGCAGTTTGACTTGGAACAGTTTACATCCTGTTTAACACCATCAAACAATACCTGCCTTTCCCTAGGTCATTGGGAAGGGCTCAATAGGTGTACAAAAATGCCAATCCACTCTAAACATCTGGCTGACTGTGCAACCAATCATAATGATTTTAATTTCTATGCCACACAGCTCCCAGTAAGTCTACAAATGTATTAAGTACTTGGCAATATAAGTATACCTTTTTATATGGAATGAATTAGCTTTGGTTATTTAAAAAATTGTATGAAGTTGTTTATTTCCAAAGTCAATTAGCACTACTTACCTAGGTATCCTGGCTCCACAACAAAAATGGTGCCATTGGGTAATTTAGAAGCTCCTTGCATAAATACACTTAAAAATCAGTTAAGGATCCAAAAGTTAAACAGTGATAACAAATTAATATTGTTATATGAGTAAAATCTATTAAGTACCTAATTTTTAATATTAGAAAGAATCAAAGAAGTCACGCTGAAAATTTTGTTACATTAACACCTATTATATTCTTTGCTGTTTGAACAAGTCAAGAGTATTGCTACTTAATGAGTAGCAGGACCAGTACAGAGTATTCTGGAAAGGTAGTGGCGTCTAAACACAGGGTGGCCAGTTCAATGGTCATTCATTGTGCATAATATGAAACACACAAAAAGGATATTTTTGTGGGAAAGTACAAGATTTGCCTGTCCCCGCTGCAATGCAGTAACTGTGCATGTTGCCTGATCCAATCTGGCAACTGGCCAGGCTGTACCTCCCCCAGAGCTGAGTGTGCTGTTCTGAAGTTGTAGCTCATATTGATCAGAAGGCATGATTAGTCCTGTCCAAAATGCAAGACAACATTAAGAAACAATCGAAGCAAAAAAAAGTGTCACTGAATGCTTCCAATAGAAAAAAAGAAGCAACACAGGCAATGTTTTGTGCTCATCAAAGTATCTTTAAAAGAAAAACACAGCATAGAAATGCTCGCTTTGTACTATAAAATATCGCTTTACCTATTTACTTATAAAGAGTCAGAGTACAAAGTTACATAAAAATGCAACAGAACAGAAACCAATTTTCCTACAGCTGAAATCCTCATTACTAAAGCTTTAGGAAGATAAAAATAAATGGATTCACATTTTTTAAAAAATAACTTTTATTGTGATTATGTTGCTAATATAGGTGGTTACTTTATTCAGCCTCTGAGAAAGACTTGTTTCATTTATGTTGACTTTCTGTTCCACAAAGCAAATCTCTTCCATCCTTTGGCACATATTAATGAGTTCAATTTAAGCTTTTAGATATAACAGCCAAAATAAATAACAGATGCTAACTGGTGATGACCTGATGTGGTTTTATTAATAAACTAGGAAAATATGAATATAAATTTTATATGAATATTTTATCAATGGATATGGTCCAATCAAATGTATTGTATTTTAAATCAATGGAAAACATTTAAGTGATGAATTATTTCTCCTAGTGATTTGGAGATAAATTAAGTTATCCTAATCTGATTTAGTCAATATTACTTGTATTTTTAATTTTGTCTCAGAAGTACTTCTAAATCTTGAAAATGGGTTTAGGTTTCTTAACATTAATTCATTGATGATATTTCTTACTATTTTTTCCACTTAGCATATCTTCTTGTAATTTATCATTTAAGAAAGTTAAACTTAAGAGAGAATCAGGAACTATAAAAATTGAGTCCAAATAGCAATTGAGTGAAACATTTTTATTTTATTTTTTTTACAACCAAGTTGATGTTTCTAAACCAAATGGCATAGATGTTGCTGGCTTTCTTGAAACAGAACAATCTCTCCTGACCTCATACATATTTTCCACTAAGCTCCTTTGAATAGCAGAGTGCAGAAGGATTGAACATTACAGTATCAAAAAGAATTATTGAGATCAGATAGGAACTGAAATATGAAAATGCTGCTTCACTGACTCTTTAGAAGAATTGGCCAATAACATGGTAGAAATTTAATTCCAAGCCAGAATATACAGTTCAGATGTGGGTCTATCTTACACTACTCTAAGTAACGAAGACAAAATTAGCACTAAGTTCATGTTATTTTTGTTTGTCTTCTCTCTTCCCTACCCACTCCCCATACACACCGTGGACTGACATTTGCAGGAATTTACTCAGGTTTATATGATGAAATTTAATTGAGACAACCTTTTAACTCTCAAAATGCATTGATCAAATATGTGTTAAGCTAATTATTAAAGGGGACATAAATCTACCTGAGTAATGATTTGTAGACTCTGTTATAACTTTATTAACTTAAACATAGTTGTAACATTATATAGATCTGCAGGAAATATGTGTAAAATATTACAACTGGACAAATGACATACAGACCTGTCATTTTCCCTCGCCTAATTTTCATGACTTTGTATTGCACTGACATTCCTACCAGCAGGTAGACATCATAAGCAGGATTTAAAATGATGTTTTCCAAAATAAATAATCTGACTTCAGCTCCAGGCACATGCTGTTGGTTGAAGGAAGAATTTAATTAAAAGAAACATTCATAAACATACATTTTCAAATATGTAATATTTATAAATATTTAATTCACAAAAAGTAAAATTTGAAAATACAAAGTTGCCATACGAAGTTACTACCTTCCTACTACTACTATAAAATTACTGCTTTAATCAAGAATAAGATCAGCTCCTATGATTTTGGGGGAGTAAATAGTAACAAAATGAAATTTTAAAAATCTGCTGTATGTTTTGCATGGTACAATGTTATAAACTGAGGATTTCTAATTACTATAGAACAGCAGTGTATGTTTTGCGCAAAATACAACATGTCATCTATGTATGAACTGTTCATATAAGAACAAATTTCAGTCATTATTATATGTTCATTTATTATAATAATAATGATTTAGTGGATGTAGTCCTTATATTTGTGATTTCATTCAATTCAGTTGTGAAACCTGATGCAGAATGGGGTAATTGGGGGCAAAACCTGATTTGGGGTGAAGATCATCTCTACTTGTCCCAATAGTGATGGCTTTCCAGAAGCAATTACTCTTCCAAAGTAATTTTTTAAAACAGAGCTTTTGGCTTACTTAAGATGACACCATCTCAAGAATTTTTCCTTGTGTTATTAGACTTTTAGGTTGTATGTTGGTGTGATTGTTATTTATACTTCATACTGTAGAGTTTAAATCTTTTATTCTGGATGTTTTATATGTTTCTTCGTAATGTTAAGAGTTTCACACCTGCAGTGGTTTTTTAAAAAAATAAATCAATCATTTCCTGCTCAAAATTATCTCCAGAGCTACGTTTCTGATATTTAACATGGAAGCTCTGTATTTTGGGGGGGAGGGGATAGTTTTATATGAGCTTTTTTCATAGGCTTTTGTGATATTTTAAAGTAAATGTTTTGATAACACAAATATACAAGACAATTGCAAAAGTAAAGATGTAAATTCTAAGGAAATTTACATTTACATTAGGAAAACCATACAAAGTTCCCGAAAAGATTCCAGAACAAATTATAAAATGTTTGATCAGAAACTACTTTAAAACCAGATTAGATTTATTAGTTAGCTTAGATCTGTCACTGTTACTTATCTTTAATTAATTTGAACAGTACTCTGAAGGAATGCAATGGACAGCTCTACTATTTATCCCTGCCCAGCATAATCTGTAATTTTTAGCCACCAATGACATAGGCTTCATCAATGGAACCGCTTTTGGCTGGAAACCGAACAAGGAGAGATTTAACCTGGAAATAAGGAGAAACTTTCTGACAGTGAGAACAACCAACCAATGGAACAGCTTGTCCTCAGAAGTTGTGGGAGCGCCATCACTTGAGACTTTCAAGAAGATTGGATTGCCATTTGTCAGAAATGGTGTAGGGTCTCCCGCTTGGGTGGGAGGTTGGAGTAGATGACCTACAAGGTCCCTTCCAACTCTGATTATCTGTTATCTGTTATTTATCTGTTAACCTTCTCTATAATAACTTTTGTATTTGTAGGCTTTCTAGTCAGTCTTGACTCCTGGAGATTACGTGGACAAGTTTGGGCAGTTTTCTTTGCAAGATTTTCAGAAGTGCTTTGCCATTGCTTCCTTCCCAAGGCTAAGACGATAACTGGCCCAAGGTCACCCAGAGGGCTTTCATAACTAAGATGGGACTGTAACTTGTTATCTTGCAGTTTCTAGTTTGGTACCTTAACTACATCAAACTGACTCTCAGACTCCAATATATTTGCCACCCATGCTTCCTGTTGATTAATGAATAATATAGGTATTGTTTTGGTGCTGATATGCAAACTATTAAACATACAGTGCAAGACTGCGCAAGACATGTGTTCTCTGGTTCCCTAGAAGATCCTCACAAAGAAATGTCAGAAGTGGGATCACCTGGATAGTTGAACTGGACACTCAGTTATAGGGCTACTGCCATACCACTGTAGAAGTTTATATATAATTGTGCATGTGTATGTGTGTTTACTTCTATTTTGTCATGTTCTCATCATGCACTAAATAATAATAAATCTATCTTATAGCTATAATGCTAATGGGTATCACTTTAGTTTCATCAAAGGACTGTAACCACAAAGGAAGAAAATTACTGGTTGGGAAATGACTATGATAAATGTAGCACCTAGCAGTAACTTACCTTATACATAGTTTCCTCTAGTCTTGCTCTGAGTTTTGAACTCCCTGTTTTCATTCCAGATACTAAAACAATATCTCCTTGTTTTTCAACTTTCTCCATCTCCAATATATATGAAGGTGGTATATATGTTGATTCAGAAAATTTTAAAATTCTGTTAAAATGTTAATTATATTGGATATTAATATTATTTCTTTATAAGGTTGATAAAGCCGTTCCTTCCAGGAACTATAATGATAAATAAACATTGTACAAAGCACAATAGAATAAAACACAACATAAATGCAAGCAGTAGCAAACATTAATGAAATGGAATTTTTTTCTACTGTAGCTGATTAATCATCAAATAAGCCTTTCAGAAAAGTCTGGTTTAACTATTCCACAAAAGACCATAAGAATGCAGCCACAGTTACCTCAAAAGAAAGGAGGCAATTCACCTGAATGACCAATCTTGTCATACCTGCTGATAAATTGGTACATTCAACAGGCACTCTCTTTTCATCTGGGCTGGATGGACAGAATATACTCAGAAATACAATGCCTAAGAAACCTAATTCCAAACCATGTAGTCATTATGGAAAGCTGTTTAATACTTTTAAATTATATTATACTATCTTGTGTTTTATATATCTACCTACAACATAACAGATGCAGAAGACTCCTTGGTGTTTCTAAAAATTCTTTTGAATATTACTTCAGGAGGAAGATGAATAGGAAAGAGAGAAATATAGTTTGAAAATTGATCAAAACCCAAGTTATTTTAGATGTGGATGAAAATATATTTAAAATAATGTCCACAGACCCAAAATAAACTAGAAATAATCAAATGGAATTTAAAGTTCAGAGTGGTATATCACATTTATTTGGTAATTTTTTGGACTTGATGAAAATTTCAAAGATGCTGACTTCGCTCAAAAATGTCCACTGGTTGCTAATTGACTTCCAAATAATAACTTCATAAATCCAATATGATCTGAATGATGGCATCACTCTTTCCTAATGTTAAAATATCCAATATCCTCAATGCTGTTGCCAAAATATTTATTTTATAATAACTAGCTTTTAACTTTCATTTATTCATCTTTTTATCCAATTTAATTCTAATACATCTCTTCTGATATTTTTGCTTTTTTAAAGTGTATGTTAGCTAAAAAAAAAACCAATTGTTTCCTTATGAACTGATACTCTCCCAAGATTATTTGTTAAATTAGAAAATTTTATTAATTTAATATTAGTAACTAACAGTACTTATTTTAAAATCTTATAACTAAAATTCCTCCAAAACTGCTAGAGGTATAACAAAACATCAAAAGGTTCAAAAGAAAAATACTCAAACAGTAGTTAAAAATATTGAAACAGCAGTTAAAACAGATGAAGCTAAAGATGAAGCTAAAATATTAAAAAATCATTTAAAAATGTTTGTCTCTTCTATGAGGAGAATGTAAAAATCCAATGGAATTTTATACAATTTGTACAGTTAGTAACCATGAACCTGATTCTAGATAAATGCATCAATAATGGCGACGTCAATAGAGACTCCCAATTTTGTTAATTGGTTTTGTAACAATTTGTCTGGCTCTGGCTGAAGCATCTGTTTTGATCTTATCTGGAACAAGATGCACTGAGTATAGTCATTAATGCATCTCTCAACTAGACTATTGTAATTTGCCTTACACAGGGTTGCCCTTGAAACAGACTGTTTCTATCCCTCTGATAATGGAACAAAATTATTATTGTCATATTTCACTGGTAATATATGAGCTGCATTGACTAGTATTTTTCTAGATTCTATCCAAGTGCTTGTTAACATTTATAAAGCCCTATATGGTTTAGGATCTTCAAAACATTTATTCAGAATTGAATCTGCCCACTCAATAAGTCTAAGTAGAGTCCCTATTGAGATAGCTGCGACAACTGTACAATAATACAATAAAAATCAATAAATACAAAAAAACAGAAATGAACAGAGTCGAATTAGATCTCATACTTATAGCATAGAATATTATTCCCCCAAAGCTTTAATGTATTTCCAAAAGATAATGGAGGACTACTTCTGCGGATAAGATATTTTACAAGAGGGAAGCTTCTGTAGAGAATGCCACTTCTATGCTGCCTCCACCATACACACACACACACACACACACACACACACACATGCTGTGTGTGTTTCACTAGAATGACTTTTTTAAATTACAGATAATCCTTTACAGTGCTTTTTTGTCTTACAATTTTCAATGTAACTGTAGTATATACCAACTGGACAAGTTTGAGTACTTTGCTTGAAAGCAACGGCATAGCACAATTAGTTAGAACCAGATAGATGAGACAAGTATATTCTCATGAAAGGTCTATAGTCTGTTCTCAAAAACCCTTTGGCGAGCCATCCCCAAATATCCATCCCATGCTGGAACTGCAATTAATTACAACTGTGAATTAGTAACATCAACTATAATTAGACTAGTTAACTGGCCTTTAATAAAATGTTCAAAAAACTAATGTAAGGAAGCAAGGAATAGTAGAGTTAAATATAGTGGTAATCTGGGAATGCATCTGTAGAACTCTAGAAAAATAAATATTTCCTGCATACCTTTTAAACAAATATTCTTGTAAAAGAACTATATCTGGGTATTTTAAAAGCTCTAGTTTACTGCAATTCTCTATCAGAACTGAAGAAGCTTCTTCAATGAGAAGCGAAACATCTTCAAGGAAAAAACAAGGACAATCCAGTTGCCTTTTGAAAAAGCACCTTTGAGTATTACCATGAACACATATACAGATGTGTATTAAAGCAAAAGTTGTGGGTATCTAAAACAAAAGAAAAAAATGAAGGGAAAGAAGAAAGAGAGAATAAGACTGAGTTTTAATCTTTATGCAGGTAAAAGAAGAAGCTAGCATAAGTATGACAGTATGCAAACTGTCTAGCCATTTACCTAAAGTCTACATTTATGCACATATTAACAACTGAATAAATTAAACTTACTGTAGTGCATTATGGAAATCTGAGAATTCATTAGTTTCAGAGGTTTTCACAATGGTCCACTCAAAAGGAAGTCCTGCCAATGTGCTAAAAGTGTTTCCTTTAAATAATTTATCAAAACAGTTAGAATGTAAAAAGAGTTTTCCTTCATTTGTAAAATTATCTGCACAACCACAATGTTTGGGAATTACAATGAATATAAAGCAGAACCGCACACACATAAAATGATCAGGTAAACTCATTTCAGAAGTAGATGGCAACATGACTAAGTGCAATGACCTGGGGAAAGAGGAATATAGGCACAACACAATTCATTTATGTCATAGAAAATATGAATTCATATTAAATATTGTATAAATATAATACAAGGAATAAAATATTCCTTGTATTATATTAATATAAATATAATAAATGTATGTATATCAGATACATAACATGAAATTTGTTTTTTTTTAATGGAAACATTTAAAATAGCAACTAGGGAAAATTAGAAAGGGGACAGAAACAATCTTCTTTTAGTAATATTGTTAATGCCTCATCAACCACAGAAAGTGAAATTGCAACTGATCATTTTCATTTTCAAGCACATTTTCTATTCAATAGAATAGTAAATGCTCCCAATCTGATTGCAAACACCAAATGATCAAATATCATGATCCAATGCATATATCCCTCTGCAACATACATTTGGCTTTTAAAATCCTAGCAATCTCCCTATTACTGATAAGAAACAGTTATGCAGAAAGTGCATTTACTCTAAAGATAAATGTTCCTTGATATTCGTCACAGTTGTGATTCATGTTGTAAATGAGATGCCTCAAGAGAGCTTATTTGCGAAAAAGAATTATCTGTAAATAATTGCTTAATGTTTTTGAACTTCATCACAAACGTCTCAGCACAAGTTGCCACAATAAATTTTAGGAAAATTCAAATCTCTGATTTTTCATGATATAAACCATCTTCCTTCAACTTTGTTTGGAATAAACCCATAGAATTTTCTATCCTGGAATTCTGGAAGTTAGTTTTCCTATATATGGAGGATATTTACAAATGTTCACTATGTGTCACTTCCTGATTTTAAGGAAAAAGAACTTAAAAACATTAATATTTAATAATATAGTACAGGGTGTTCAACCTTGGCTATTTTAAGACCTTTGAACTTCAACTCCCAGAATTCCTCAGTTTACATGGTTGACTGGGGTATTATGGGAGTTGAAGTCCACTGGTCTTAAAGTTGCCAAGGTTGGATCCCTCTCATATAGTGTATCATAGAGAAAAGATATTTCAATGAGTAAATGTAATGGATAGGTATGCAAAGTTGCATAATAGTAATTCACTATTTTCATGCCATATTGTTTAATACTACAAAAGTAAGACAAATTTTCTTAAAGAGTATTACTGATATCAAAACAAAAGCAAATCAGCAATATGTAAATATGCACATGAAAGAGCAAAGTGATATCCTTCTATGGATTTAAATGTTGAATCCATAACACATTTGATACCTTCAGAATCTCTGGCTTGAATTTTCAGCTGCAGTGGTGAATCCTCAAGATACAATTCCTTTGTTGTAGATACTATGTTAATAGTATGAATAACATCCACTATAGCATCACAGCGAAGGACCTGGCCAGTCACTTGTTGAAAAAGAAGAAAACATTGTTAGTGATCCAGTGAACATTGAACTTTAATATAGTCGGCAATTCAGCACACCATTCTGTAATGCACTACCTCTAGATAGGTAGACTATGACCTACCATGTTGTGCAGGAATTTTGTCCAGAATTGCTATATAAGAATAATCTTATCCCAAAGATGCTTTTTCAGGAGGCAAGTGGACTTTTGTTTTTTCTTTGAAGACGTTTCTCTTCTCATCCAAGAAGCTTCTTTAGCTCTGACAGGATAGCGGAGAATGGAAGCTTCTTGGATTGGAAGGAAAACGTCTTCAAAGAAAAAAACAAGACAGTCCAGTTGCCTCCTGAAAAGACACCTTGACCTGGGTGACTGAAAATCTCTACAGACTTTAAGAATAATCTTACATTGAACAAAGTGAACTGGGAGCATGCAGGAAAGTGTTGGTAGCATGGCTCCTTCAAAACTGCTTCTAACTGTGTTTTGATGCATGAGCATGCACGCAATTGGAAATCACTGGCAAAGCAATCACAGATCCATGGCTTCTTTTATAGTCCAAAGATAGCACTTCATACATGCTGTTACATGCACAGTACTGAATCTACCTTAACTTTGCCAAAGTTCAATCCCACTGGTATCATGGCTCCCAGATTTTGAACCTGTAAGTTAGCCCATTTGAAGTGTCAAAAAAGGCTGCCCTATGATTCACCATTTCATTCAAATGGTTGCAAACAATCAAGCAGACACAAGAGTTTTAGTAGTATATAGATGTAGAAATCCTATAAGTGCTTAAAATTTAATCCTAATAAAATCTTAATAGAGAAGAAACAGACAGTACTTACAAACATCTTCAGCCAAAATAATACTTGTAAGCCGTGTTATTTGTGATGATCTGGCTTGAATAATAGCCTTCTGTGAACACTGAGGGTTATCTTGTTCTATAGCATCTATGCTAGCAACTTCTGGTCTGGTGGAAGACCTGTTTAAAAATATTAAAAATATTGGAGTTATAAACCAATTATAACTGCTGAAACCCTTTGCATTCTAATCCTGATAGCAAAGACTTTTGGAAATTGAAAATTCTATGATGGTGAGAACAGCTATTACAGCTAGAATGAAGAGAGCAGTCAGTTGTCATTTCCACTGATTAAGCAATGAATTACTAAAACAAGATGTGCCCATTTTTCATGTTCAGTTAACAGCTGTAAAACATGAAGAATTTTTATATATATTCTGATGCTTTGTGAAGCAGCTGTGAAAAAGTGATTTGTGCAAAGTACGTTAATGAAATTGGCATAACGAGCAGTCCTCACTTAATGAACACAATTAGACCTCTGTTGCTAAGCAATGTGTTGTAAATGTCATGTGATCACAATATATCTTTTGATGTTAGCTTCAGCTACAGTCATTAAAGAAATCACTGTGGGTTAAGTGCGGTGTCATGCAACTGCAAATTGCAACTTTGTGTGCTTGCTTCTCCCATTGTGTTCGGTTGGTTGGAGCTGGCTGTGAAGGTCGCAAGTAGTGATCACGTGAGAGTTGTGATTATTGTAAATACTTGCTGCTTGCCAAGTGTCTGCATCAAAATCCCATGGCCATGGGGATACTGCGATGACTACGACTTTGAGGACAAGTTATTAAGTCTTCTTTTACAGAACTATTGCAACTTTGAATAGCTGCTGAATGTTGGTAAGCAAGAACTATCCGTATTGCTATGCACAAAAAATGCTTTTGCTTCATTCAGAACAAAACAACTTTACTTGAAACTTTCTGGCAAGTCATTTCAAGCTTAGTCTGTTCTGATGAAGCAACACTTGAAATAGCTTTAGATTATGCATTTCATCAGAACAAAATTCAAAACGTTTCAAGCATTCCCACCATAGTCAGCTCCTCCTTTATTTTTCATTTCAGAAACACATAGAAAGATAATCCATGCTAAGTACTATACAATACAGGTGGTCTTTGACTTACAACAATTCATTTAGTGACCATTCAAAGTTACAATTGAAAAAAGGGACATTTGATTGTTTTTCACGCTTAGGACTGTTGCAGCATCCCTAGGAACAAAATCTGGATACTTATTTATGACGGATGCATTGTCCTGAGGTCATGTGATCACCTTTTGTGACCATCTGACAAGCAAAGTCAATGGGGAAGCCACTTAATAATTACATTACTAATTTAGTAACTGCAGTGATTCACTTAACAACTGTGGCAAGAAAAGTCATAAAATGAGGCAAAACTCACTTAACTACTGCTTTGTTTAGCAATGGAAATTTTGGGCTCAGTTGTGATCTTAAGTTGAGGACTGCCTGTAAAAACAAATCCCCATACCTTTTCTCACACTGAAAATTCAATTTAATTTAGAATCTTATCAACTTCCCATTTCCTTTCTGTCTTCAGCTGAGGTCTTCTTTATTTCAGTATATAAATATTAATTCTCAGCCAATAGACTAACAAAGAAATAGACCACCTAACTGCTTTAACATTTCTTTCATGACCAGGTTTCTGCAAGAACAATTTCATTCGTTTTCTTTTTCAAAGATTTCTTTGACCACTATACCTATAGGTTTTAACACACCATTCATTTAGCAAATTTAAACAACAGAATTGACATGTTTTATTTTTAAGTGAGCCTGTTTAACAAGCAAGCACAGCAAAAGTAGCTATGTTGATTTGCTAATGTTTTTCTTGTACCATGTGGTGATTCCAAGTGAAAAACTTGGCTGCTAATACTTAATATCACTATCATTACAATGACAAAAAATGAATGTCCATATGGCTCAACAAACCAACCCAATCATAGTCTTTTCCATGTGAAAATACAACTTGAACTAATTCAAGAAAGGTTACAGAGTGCTCCTTGAATTTAAAAAAATACCACCATCAAACACTAGTGTGGTATTTGATGGTGGTACTAGTGTTCTTTATAATTACTCAGAGCATTAGAATATGAATACAATATATGCAAATACTACCTATCTGCAAAATAAATCATAGCACAACATGTTTGCAATCCGTGTAAATTCTAATTTCCCCATAGCAATTCAGAAGAAACAAAAATAGGCAGGCTGGTAGCCAAGAACCATGTTTTGCCTAGTCATGTTCTTAGCTTTTATTCCTCTCTTCTTAACATCTTATTCTTGTATGACCTCATTCATGCAAATCAATAATAGCAGGGACATGATGCTCCCTGGTTCTTTATTAGCTTGGGTGGAAATAGTTTGGAAAAACAACCTAACCTTAAGCCTCAAAGTAACCACATTGCTCAGAATAATTGGGATGTTTCAAATGATGCTATTCAAAACAGCCACATTTATGTTTCACACTCAGAACAATCTCTAAAGATGCATTTCTTCCACCAATTAAATTGCTGATTTATTTTGTTTTTATTTATATCTTAGCTTTAAAAAATATAAATTGCCTTATACTAGAACAGTAAAAATAACATATAAATCACATAAATGATACAAAATTTTCTTCTGACAAAGCAACTCATGAAATATATTTTGTTTCATGCCAGAATACTGTAGGCAGCCATTTCAAGATCAGAACATTTTGAATAATGATTTTATGCACATGTAGGCATTTTAACATAAGAATAGTTTACACAGCAAGAAGTAATAGCTCTATTTAATTCTGCATTGATCCGACCCCACTTCAATTATTGTATCTATTTCTGAGCACTACCCACAAGTTCCACAGATGGGCCAGAGGATGAGAAGCCAAGTCATATGAATAAGGATTGAAAAAAGTGAAAAAAGTTTCACTTTGCATGGAAAGGAGTACAGGTGGGAGTGAGGAACGGGGTGGGTGGGTGGGTTATGACAGAACTGTTCAAATACCTGTGTGTGTGTGTGTGTGTGTCATAAACAAGGTGGTTAAAATATGTGCTCCATCATTCATGACAATGGATTTGAGTTACAGGAAGGATTAGAAACCCTTCTCAACATTAAGAAGAATTTGAAAATCAATTATCTATATGAGCTCTCAGAAATACTTTAATTTTAAATTCTTGCATTGGGCAGGTTTGTTTTTGTGGCCTAAACAAGTATTTCCAATGTTAGGCCCTCATATTTCTCAGCCCTGCCATGCTCACCTCCACTTCAATTCTCCGAAACCACCTATCTCCTCTATCTCTGTCCATTTGGTCACCCTGAAATCTACTACTGCCTATGCCAGCTGATCTTCAGCCTCTTCTTCCCTCTGCTGATGAGGCACATCTGTCTGTGCTAAGGCTGTTCCCTTTGATAGGCCTTGTGCAGCCTTCTTAAAAGAGAACAGACTTGCTGGCAGCATGAAGACAGTGAAGGTCAACAGAGATCAGGGAGAGGATGGCAGGGGTAGGTGATGGCGGAATACAGAATGGTCAAAAGGGCAGAGACCTGAAGAGAAAGGTGGAAAGGGGAAGTTAAATTTGTAAGCTGCAGTTGTGGAGGCTTTCAAGAACTGAATTTTAGTCACATGATTTCAAGTGAGCTGCAATGGCCAAAACTTTGAGGACCAATCTTAAATCTCATTCATTCAACTCTTGTAACTTCAAATGGAATGAATTGTGAGGATTACCTGTAGTAATTAAAGCATCAGGTTAGAACCCTATAGTCTAATCCTTTCCTTTTTGTTCATTTGATAATTGTAGATAAAGATAAATGGCAGAATATGAGGGCAACACAACAGAAATAGGTGCCAAAGATTGTTTCAGTTCAGTCAAGTGTTAAGTCAACTAACAGCATCCTGTAGGTTGGTAAGACTCAGGTTTCTAAAAAAATAATACACTTCTTAACATTGTTTCACCTACTATGAAACTTACAAAAAAATCACTTAAGTATAAAATCTTTAAAGTTAAAGGGGCCTGTATTTGGAACCTGCCTGGGGAGGGCTTTGTATGTGTGACTGCTTCTGATGGCAGTTTGCTGAGAGGCTAATGGGCTTCCTTGTACAGTTGGTTGGTCACTGTGAGTATAAACTGCTAGATCAGATCGGCTGTGAGCCTGATCCAGAAGGGCACTGCATATATTTTTCAGTTCTAAGAAACTGAACAAGTTTCTTGGATAAGAAGCTAAATGTTTTCAAAGAAAAACAACAACAACAAAGTCCAGTTGTTTTTTGAAAAACCAGCATTGGGATAAAATAAAAGAGACCAACAAAATAAGGATAAAACCATTTGCTTTCTGAATAAGTACTAAAGAACTGCAAAGCCCACTGCAATGAGAAAATAGGGAAGATCTTGGTCCTCTCTGACCCAGATGGGTGAGAGCCAGGAAGAAACTGGAAAGATGGAAGAAAGTGCGGGGAAAGGCTGTAGGACATTGGAAAAAATGTTGGTTAGGTGTATCTTCTTTGGGTGCTGCTATTTGACATTGGGAATGGGACTGGATAGCTAAAGAGGGCAAAGATAAAAGGAAGAATGGCAATAGTAGGCAGTGAAAATCTGCAGGAATACTTGCATTTCAAGAGAAGACAGATTGGCACAACACTAACCATAAGAACCTCCATTCTCACCCTGACCTAACCATATAGCAACGTGCCCGCTTCCCTGTATTCCGCACAGAACTAAAAAAACGTCTAGACAATGGAGAGAAGGACCTGTACATTGACTACCAAGCTGACTGTAAGTAAGTCACACAACCCGCAACTCATCTTTAACCTTCAACCACAACCCGACTTCAACTAATCCACCCTCACCCAAGACTAGGCACGCACACCCCTAACTACCTCAATTCCAACTACAGCTGGCCTTAAATGCAAGCTACTCAATGCAAGAAGACTTATGAATAAAATACCTGAATTTCTCCTCTTACTAAATATGACTAAATTTGACATCATATTTGTCTGTGAAACATGGCTCAACGCATCTCTCCCTGATTCCATTACCACAGTAAGACTATCATGTTTACCTATCAGATCATGAAATTCATAGAGGAGGTGGTTTTTCTATCTTCTATAAAAAGTCCTTACATCTAAAAAACATCCAAGTTA